ATGAGAATTCTCCCTGTTCTAATTTCGTAAGATAATAATTCTTCACACTTTCAGTTTTACGTCTATGATACAGAGAATGAGCTATAAAATTGAATGAGAATATTATTTTAGACAATATAAATATGAGTGAAATATCACCTAAAAGTTAACGTGAATATGAGTCAAACCACGACTAAAAGTTTAATGGACATATTGCAAGTAAATTCATATGTAAAATTTCTTTGCGAATTGAATGATCACTCATCTTTTGAAGACTTCAAGATGCTAATAAATAGAGATGTTGTACTATATTAATGCGTTTATAACTCACAAATAGTAGATCACGTAGCCACAGTCTGGGTTGAAAGGAAACAATGACAATATTTTATTTGAGAGAGATCTTATTGAGTTGATCAATATAAAAAAAAACTTCGTTTTTTTATTTTTACTCTATTTTTATTAATTTAAATAATCATGATATTCAACCACGTGCATTGCACGTGCATCTCAACTAGTACCCCAACAAAAGGAGGAACTGCGGAAGTATCTATGTTTTTTAACTGGATGTGTGCAGATAAAGATAATCCTTCATGGATGTTGCTGAGTAAGATCCAGGGTAAGCTGAGTAAGATACAGGGTAAGCATCTGAAAAAGGTCAGCAATTACATAACACGCTAGAAAAGTATGGTCGTCTGAGTACTAGTACTATTCCTTAATTGCTTGTATTCAAATAATTATATTCTCATTTGTCACTAGCCTCAAACAGGAAGCAAAAAGAAAAAAATTTGCCATCTATTGCTTGGGTGCTGATGAAACAATATCCTAGAACTCCAAAAAAAAATTATGAGGATATCTTAAAGGACATTCCCTACAATTTTAAATTTATCATCCAAATAAAATTTAAAATTGCATTGGACCTACCAGAACACGTCTTAGACACCTTTCACAAATGAAAATAATAATAATAATAATAACAATAAAAACTTCCTAGGGTTGCAATAGGACGTTATAGTTATTAAATTTACTGAAAATAACATCGTGAAGAAAATACGGCTAAATTTCACAAACCCCCCCTTGAGTTTGCGGTGTTCTCCACACAACATACTAATTAAGCTTCATAAATTAGAGAAACTCCTCCAAACTTGTCTTAGTCTCTTAATTAACTACCATGGCCGACCACATCTAGTTTAAATTGTCATATGAAAATATGGACAATTTTCCCCTATATATATTTTCAATTTTACTAAAACATAGTTTTTTTGGTTAGCTAAGGTGCGTATATTTTAACAAGAATAGGACTATCAACCCTTCATGTTAATGCTCTTTATGACAATTTTCAATTGTTAGAGAAGGTTTTGTATAATTTTGAAACCTCAGGGATTTTCTCTGATGTATAAAATTTAGGGGAATTTTGTGTGAAACATTCTCAATGTTCAGGGGGTTTTATGCGATTATGCAGCAAACGACGATACACGGAAGCAAGATAATAAATATTCTTGAATTCTCTATGGCTGGGATTAATTAAATCATTAATTAACAAAGCATACCAGTAAACTTTCACGTGCTGCAGAGAAATGAGTAACGTAATTACAAGCTGAATGGTTGATGCAATAAAAACGAAGTCATCAAACCAAAACTATATTAATCAACTAAAACCAGCAAGCTTATTGAAACTTGGGTTCTGCTAGCTATACCCTGGACATTGTCAAACCTAATGTAACCTCGAGAAGCGGCCACAAATAAAGACTAGCCGGCCGACTCGCGTACACCTGAGAGCACGACTTGGGTGTGGAGTCAGCTAACTTGTCTAGCGACCCAAATCTGAGACGAAAGGCGTAATCAACCCGAGATCCGCTAAAAGCCTGCATTTGAGACGAAAGAAGTTCTACACTCGGGCTCGACACTGAGCGTCTTGAACAGTGGAACAGTCTATCAACTTCGTCACATTGTCTTTAATGTATACCAGTCAACACCCACCCTTTGCCGCCTAGTCGCCATCGTCATTAATGCAATGTAAGTTATTATGACCTCTCGAACCAGAGCCTTCAAAGCTCCCGGACTGCGCTAGTATTTTAGCAGCTTTATTATTGTTGCAAGGATGACTTGTCCAACTAGTTGTTGACATGTGTAAAGCATGTTCTGATCCATCACTGCACAAACCCCGCCAAATTACTAACGTGCCCTCATAAATCCTCTATAAATGATGGTAACTTCTACTATACTAAGGTACATAATTTTACACACAAAAAATCAACAAGACTATACCCTATTTTTCTCTTCAGATTAGTCAAGTTAGTCACTGACTTGAGCGTTTGAGCTCACTCTGGAGGAAATAACCTCCGGAGCTTCTAACCTCTGCTGCCTGTGTAGGAAATTATAGCTCAAGATTTCTAACAGGAGTGATCAGCCATTAAAGAAGATTAAGTGACACCAAGATCATAGTTACCTCTTCTAAACCACACATAAACTTTCTGACATTAACAATATGGTGCCCTCCGTGGTGTCTCTTCTTCTTCTTTTGAGAAAATGGTTAATCTTCGGCTTCAAACCCTGGAGAAATAATCGACTCCAACTACGTCACTCAATCTCTTTAGCAATGACTTGCTTCATTCACAAATGAGCTCTTTAGCCACACCTTTCCTCTTAAACTCTTTCGTCGCTTGTCATCGCTCTCTATGAAAGTCGAACGCTAGCGACAAAACATAGAAGATTAGTTTAGGTAGACAATTCCCCAAGCACCAACGTTGCATTTTTACGGATGAAAATAGAAGAGCATGGGATGCCCTAAGGGAATGCTTGAGGGCATCTAAAATCCTTGCGACTCGGTTTTTATCATCACCAACCTGTACAAGGCATACAAAATCACAAATAGGTATGATTCTCTTTGCATTAATTAGTGAGAACTTGCAGAACGACCCATAAAACTTCTAGGGGAAAGACCCACCCAGGATAGCACATGGAGTGGGAGCAGTTATCCTAGTAGAAATCATCACGACCGCTCTGAGATTATGTCACTCTGATGAAGAAGCCAATGATTTTGAGTCAGCGAAATGAAGTCCACCCCACTAGCAAAGTAAAAAAAAGTGAACGCGTTGATCGTAAGCCATCAAACCTCAGTCCACTGACAGACATCACAATAGCCAAGCCCTTTCCATGGTAGACGTGTCTCGAAGGAACCTTGTGCTATTATTAAAGGACTTCACAAGAGCACGTATGGGGCACGAAGCTAAGAAGAAAAGGTCTTAAAACATCCTCAAAATGAAAAAAATTTCAAGAAACAATTCCAGGAAATGTCACTATAAGACCTATTTAAAAGTAAAAAATGCTTTGCCTTTTCGCTAATCTGAGTGCAGCCCCAACAAAATCGGTCATCACCAACTTGTTAGAGGCACAAATTTCAGAGTAAGCCAAAGGCACAAGCCAAGACCTTAGTATTTCTCTCATCAGTAAAACCAAGGCTCAGGCATGGATTCCTTGCAACTCGATCTTTATCGGATCGACCAAGGCCTCCTAAGCCCTTGATGTTTTTTTAGAGTAAACTCAAGTCATGAACCAAGGTCTTGGAATCGTTCTCACGAGTAAAACCAAAACATAGACACAAAGTCCTTGAAGCTTGATCTTCATCGACTCATCTGAGGCCTCCTAAGCCCTTGGTGTCTTTTTAGAGTAAACACAAGGCATGAACCTAAACCTTGGTATCATTCTCATGAGTAAAACTAAGCACAAACACAGAGTCTGTACAACTCGATCTTAATTGGCTCAGCCAAGGCCTCCTAAGCCATTGGTGTCATTTTAGAGTAAACCCAAGGCACAAACTTATAAGACCTTGATATCATTCTCACGAGTAAAACCAAGGCACAAGCACAGAGTTATTACAACTCGATCTTCATCGACTATGTCAAGGACTCCTAAGCCTTGGTATCTTTCAGAGTAAGTCCAAGACACGAACCGAGAGTTTTGGTATCATTCTCATGAGTAAAACCAAGGCACAGACACAAAGTCCTTACAACTCAATCTTCATCGACTCGACTGAGGCTTCCTAAGCCCTTGATGTATTTTCAGAGTGAACCCAAGGAACAAACCAAGACCTTGATATCGGTTTTCAAGTGTAAACCCAATGCATGGCTCAGAGCCATGGAAAATCGGTTCCCATCAATTCATCAGAACCATTCAAAGTCCTTGCTGCCGGTTTTCAAGTATAAACCCAAAACACAGCATAAAGACTTAGCGACTTAGTTCTCATTGGCTTGTTAAAGACATTCAAAATCCTTGATCTCATTTTTCAAATATCAACCCAATACATCACTCAGTCTTCACCAATTTATTCAAAAAATAAGAATACTCGCATATCGATTCTCACAGACTCTTTCGAAAACATTTGAAAAACAAAGCACAGATAAGAAACAACTCGTAACTAAGTGCAAAAAGAATGAGTCAATAAAATTAAGTCTTTCACTCATTCATGAGAGTTTTATGGGGACTTTTTTTATAAAGAATCGACGCTAATAAAATAAAGAAACAAAAAGATAATCCTCTTAAGTAGCAAAATCTATAGCAAGAACCGTGGGCAAACCCGAGACGGGAGCATCTGAAGGAGGAGGACGTTGTTGGTTGGACAAAGAGGATGAGTTGGCTCTGTCATTAGAGCCTTCACCCACATCTTTGTTCGATCACCCATCGGCCTCCTCATCCTCCTTCACTATCCCTAACCATCTTGCACCTCGAGCATCTTGAGGATATCGAGGCAGTTAGCCACTTGGGAGGGATATATGAATCAGTCTTCCTTTAGCAAGAGCTCGGGAGGGAGTTATGCCTTTAGATCATCGAACTCCACCTTACAGGTGAGGACCACCTCAACTTTGCTGAGAGTATCACCATGATATTTCTAAGATATCTCCATCTCAAGGGAACTCAACTCCAGATGAACTACTTAGACCTCGATCTCCTAGACCCGGGTAAGGAGAGTTGTGCTATTGCTCAGCCTTGTGAGCCGCTTAGGCAATCTCCTGTCGAAGAGTCTCCTAGAGAGCCGCATTCTCCTTCAACCTAGCCTTTAGCTCTTTCTTGTCAAGACAAGCCACACGGGCCCTCTCAAAAGCATCAATGCTCTCCCTCCTATCGGCAAGAACTTCTAATTGAAGATACACAATCTTCTCCTTGGCAAGACCTATATCATGGTGCAAGTGGCTGAGATACTATTTAAGGCCCTTTATCTTCTCTTGAGCTTATGCAAGATGGGTCACTCATTTCTTGGAATCTTCGATAGCTGTCTTAAGGTCCTCATCCTTATTGTCAAACTCACACTCAATCATGGCCTGACTTCTCTTGAGTTCGTTAAGCTCACCCCCCTTCAAATCAGTCAATAGTTGGACCACCTCTCGAGCATCCATGTGCACCTCTAGCTTGGCTTGGAGCTTGTGGAAGAGTTCTTGATATATTTCAAGCTGGCAGAATAATTCAAAATACAAGAGAGCCCCCAGATGAGAACTCTTGAGAGCCTGGTGGAGGCTAATGTTGGGAGTCTTGCTCAGCAATGCCTCATCTTGCAGCAGAAGGAACTGTTCAACATCTTTTGCTTGATTAGCTCCGATTTCCAAGACCGACCTTCTCTAGTCCATTCGATGCTTGGGAACAAAGAGACGCTCCTCCGATAGCTCCTTCTCATTGCATGGACGAGACTTTTTAGGCCCCATTAACATCACGTGGATCCTCTCCTAAGTGCAAGGGGGAAGTTTGTCCATGTGATTGGTGAAGGGAAACTTATACCGATACTCCTACATAGTAGTTGGGAGACCCAAATGCTCCTCAAACAACTAGCTCCTGAATTTACTGACCAACTCTTCAATGACCGACTCTTTTCAGGGTCTCCTAAAAGACTCACTCCTAGTTTGTCCGGCGGTCCTCCTTCGGCTCTGACCCTAATTGGCATCTCGCCTCCTGTCAGCTCCATGATAGAATTGTATTCTCCTCTGGCCTCCTATTTAGGTACTGAATGCAAAGAATCACCCTCCTGTCAGCTCCATGATAGAATTGTATTCTCCTCCGGCCTCCTATTTAGGTACTGAATGTAAAGAATCAGCCTCCACCTCGATACTGTTGACTAGAGTTTGGAAAGTTTGTAGGGCAAAACCCCACTAGCTTGTGTGGGTGCAGCCTCAACCTACACGGGTGCAGCCTTAGCTATCTCATCTCTTAGAGAAAAAAGCTCCTCGACGATGACCCTTAGAAGCCATCTTCCTCTTCTTCCTCTTAGACCCCTCAATCTTAGCAAAAGTTGGCCTCGATCTCATTTGCGGGCTGCCAGCATAACATCTAGAACTCCTTTGTCTCTAGCTCAGATGAAGACACTTTTGAGGCAAAGTAGGAGAGCCAGCCTGAGAACCCTCCGCAGGTTGCTCGACGACTGCCAGAACTACAGCTCGAGCCCGATCCCTTTTAGTGGCAGGGATAAGGGATATGCTAACATCTCGAAGAATAGCATTGTCAAACATATTCTCCCAATGCCAAGATCCATTGAAGGCTTGGATCCTCTCCAAGCTCCGCACCTCCACATCCTAGAGCTTCTTTGCCTTAGACCATCCTTCTTGACTTCTGGCCACATAGGGCAAGGCGGAATAGGGCCAGCATCAAGGATGAAGAAAACTTCTCCCTCCACTCCTTGTTGGTCTTAGGAATGTTGGAAACCAGTCGGTAACCACCGATTGTCTACAAGTAAAAATGACCCTCTTTCTTGGCAATCATAGTGCAAACAATATGGCCCAAAATATCCAACTTGGGCTAAACATTTGCTCGGTGGTAGATGACAAGGAAGGCAACAAAAAAAGCAATCGAGTTCAGTATCAACTATTCTGGCAAAACCTATAGAGGTCTAAAAATCTATTGAAGATAGGTGCAATGGTAGATGAAGACCATAGTTGAGGTGGTGCCAGTATATCGGCGTTAAACTGCTGCTATAATGATAGACATGCTATTTCCTCGATGGAGCTAATAGTGTAGAAACGCTAGGGATGTCATAGTCTTGGATGTACTTGTCCAAGCAGCTCATAAGCACCTTCAATTTATACTATCACAGAAAATCAATTCTAGCCTTATTGTGTGGACTGAGTGCTGGAAGCCATTAGAATAGTTAAGAAGAATGACCAGAGAATAAAAAAAACTGTTTGGAGGAAAAGAAGATGGACTTCGTCGATGAAAATGGAAAATTTCCAAGGGTTTGCAGAGTAGAAATAAAATGCAAGGAGCTAATACATACAAGTGGAAGGAGCTGACACGTGGTGCAAAAGGGGCGATTAACATGATTTATGACACTGACGGTTTTCAAAAACCAAAGTGATGTCTCGTCAAACAAAGTGTCACTCTATCAAAGCTACTACACGATCTCTATTGATGTTAGAAACATCAGATCACAGCTGCCTACTGATAAGGATGGTCTAGATCCATGAAGCACTAAACGGTTTATTTTCTACTGAACTCGGCTTTCCAAGTTTGAGTGTAAAGGGGCCAACTTTATACCGTAAAAGTTTCTAAGCCTAATGTAACCTTGAGAAGCGGCCACGTGTAAAGACTATCTAGCTTACTCACATATAGCGCTAGTGTAGAGTCAGCCGACCTATCTCACGGACCAAATTTGAGACAAAAGGCTTAATTAAGCTGAGATTTCCTAAACGCCCGCATCCGAGATGAAACATGTTCCGCACTCAGGTTCGACATTAAGCATCATGAATAGTGGAACAACCTATCAACTTCATCACATTGCATTTAATGCATGACCTGTCAATGCCCATGCTTCACCACCCTTTCGCCATCGCTATTAATGCAATATCAGTCATTATGACCTCTCGAGCCAGAGAATTCAATGTTGCTCTCACCACATTAGTATTTCAGCAGCCTTATCACTATTATAAGGGTGACTCATCCGACTAATTGCCGACACGTAGAAAGCCTGGTCTGGTCCATGACTACATGAACCCGGCCCAATTATTAATGTGCTCTCATAAATCCTCTATAAATAATGGTAACTTCCACCATCATAAGGTATGTAATTTTATACCCAAAACTCAAGAAGACTATACTATATTTTGCTCTTAATATTAGTCAGATCAGTTACTAATTCGAGCATCTGAGGGCACACTGAAGGAAATAACATTCGAGGCTTGTGTAGGAAATCACAGCTTAAGAGTTTCTCCAGGAATGACTAGCCATCAAAGGAGATTAAGGGACCCCCAAAGTCATCTTTATCTTTTCTAAGCCACAAATTAACTTTCCAACATCAACAAGTTCTATACGTAAGCATAAATTGCATCTGATATTTACTCAAATTCAAGAAACAATTCAAGCTTTGATGTCTAGTTGCTCTCAAAAAAAAAAAAGGAAAAAGGGAAAAATATATAAAAAAGAAAGGGAAAATTGTGTCGAGGCCCCAAAATTAGGGACTTCATGTGATCAGGCCTCTTATATTTTAGCCCATGTGATTCCCCAAAAAGTACTATTTAATATTTCAAGGCCCCTTCATGTCAGTAGTACAAAAAAAAAGATTGTATTTTGGAAAAAAAATCTAAAATTGCCCCTCCATTTATCTTCCCCAAACGCCTGGTCCCCAAAAATATAGAAAGTCGCGTCCATTAATGTGATCTGATGGAAAAAATGGAGAGAAATTTCCCTCTTTTTTAAACTCTATCATGAGCACTAACTCATGTTAGTTCTAAGTTATTTAATGTTAGTTCTAACGTATTTCATGTTAGTTATAATTCATGTTAAAGCTAACTTTAAGTAGAACTAACATAAATACTTTAGGCTACTTGGTCTAGTGGTAAAGCTTGAGAATTTAGAGAGGAGGTTAGGAGTTCAAACCTTTGCAGCTACAATATATATTTGAAGGTCTTTGAGTGGGCCTTAGTGTTTGTTGGAAATTTTGTAATAAGAAAATAATGAAAGAATCATATTTGATTTTATTCTCTCTAACTTCTTAGAAAAAGAATGTTTACAACTCTCTCAAACTTAATTACAATTCGAATTTCCTGATTACAAAAGAGAAGAGAATCGACGGATATCCTCCTTTTTGTTTAATTCTGGGTTCTTCACGATGGCGATGGAATGTCTCCCTCGAATGCTCGCGTCGAGCTTGCTTTCCGTTGACGATCCGACTACAAACAAAAGATAATCTTTTGTTTGGTGGAAAATTTATGAAATAAAAATGAAAGAATTGTGTTTGATTTTATTATCTCTAACTGCTTAGAAAAAGAATGTTTACAACTCTCTCAAACTTAATTACAATTCGAATTTCCTGATTACAAAAGAGAAGAGAATCGACGGATATCCTCCTTTTTGTTTAATTCTGGGTTCTTCACGATGGCGATGGAATGTCTCCCTCGAATGCTCGCGTCGAGCTTGCTTTCCGTTGACGATCCGACGTTTTGCTTCACTAGAACGATGTCTTCTCCTTATAATTTCATGTTGTGGAGAACTTGCAAAGCAAGTTTTAGAACTCTGAACGGGTTTAGAAGAACTTGCAGAGAAAGTTTGAAACTCTTAACGAGTTAGGGAACTCTGAGCGAGTTATAACTCTATGGAAGAGTTGATTGATTTAACCAAAATTGGTTTGTAAGCCAAGTTTGATGAAAGCTCCAAGAATAACTCCGAGGATCTGAAGATTACCGAGTTCCTTCTTCTGCCAAGAAGTCTTGTGCTGATCTCTAAGAATTCCGATCTAGAAAAAGAGAGAGAGCCTTTTGATCTCCAAAATTCTAGATCGAAGATCCCAAGAAGTAGATCCGAAAGATGATCTCCAGATCAAAAAGATGATTGCCAAGATCCTATCTGTCAAAAAGCCAGCGATCCAAAAAGAGAGCCCTTAACTCAGTTGAGTTTGTCCATATTTATAGGGGGATTAAGGGGTGTAACTTCCCCCTTAATCCACTCTTAAGTAGGGCGGAAATCCCTCCAATCGTGGGGGAAAACGATTTCTGGAACCGTTCAGCTCGAGCTTGAACGAGTCAAATGTCGAAAATAGTATTCTGGATCTGAACTCTATGTTTTAGACCTGAAATGCAGAGTTGGGCATTTCTAATTGGCTCAAAACGCAGTGGCTGCACCGCTTTAAGAGTCTGAGATGCATGAATGAACTCTGCATTTGGATCTGGAATGCAGAGTTGGGTTCTTGTGATGCCCCTGTTTTCACTCATGGCTGCAGTCCAAGGTGAACCCAGAGATATCAAACCTGCCATGCACTCACACTGTACAACAACAAGTTTCACCAATTATAGTAATATCCTCTAGTGGGGTCAAATAAAAGCGTAGGTACAAAACAGGCAAAGAAGTAGAACGACAATAATAGACATGATAAAGAGGATGATATCTCATAAATAAGATCATGTCTCAACTTAAAATAAACTGAAATACATTTAGAGTCTGCAATAACATACGATGTCTCAACATGAATCAAAAC